TTTTGGCCAATTTGGCATCGGTTCTGGAACGCGGATCTGTGAATTCCGGCGAACAGTTTGTTGGAATATAATTTCATTGAGGTTCTGATATCATATTATGCCAAAATGACAAGCTATGATCACTGAAATCAGGTTTTAGTGTATCTGATGACATATGGACACATTGGCATCGGTTCCGGGAAATCCGTGGAATCCGGTTTTAAGCCCCAAAAGAAGCAAAAACCGCGATACAGCGGGTGAGAACCAGAGGAGCCAAGAACGAAGTCTGTCAACGGTAGTCGGCTCTAGAGAAAGAAGTAAACCGTAATTGCAAACGGGACAAGCGAGTTTGAGTGGATTCCCTGACCGACGAAGGAGGGAATGCCGCAACAACCGACGATATCCACCTCCTCTGCGATATATCACGACGTCTGATTGGAGCAAGGATGAATCCAAAGATGCCTATGAAAGACGCGACTGGACAGTTGCTTACTGATCCCAGTAACCAGCCAGGACCATTAGTTCAAAATTACTTCTGGAGAACCTGGATCAGATCCCGTATGAAGGAATGTGTTCACAATTTCCTGAATGATTGGCATTGTAATGTTCACATGGGATTGCTATAGCTATGTAATGATCACATGGGATTACTAAGTTATAAAATATTTTAGCCTTGTTTATTGCGCTGAAATTATTTTCGGAGAACCTGAATCAGATCGCGGATGGTCATGCTCTTTTGAATATAAATGACTTCCGGAGCACCAAGTTCAGATCCTGGATGGAGGCTACTGCCCTCAAATTATTTGTATTAGATACAATCCATTTATTATGTCACGCTGAATTGAGAGAAAACTAACCCCCTCCCCCCTTTCCTCATGTTTTTTTATACCTATACCATTATAATGCAATATTTGTCAAAAAATCATAATCCCCTCCCCCTTCCCCTCTTGAAGTGTGACTAATATATTCATCACCCCTTTTAATATTCACCTCGGTTGAACATGCATGATTTTACATACCACGCGATATAGTAGTTTCAAATAAATCATTTCTAGTCATAATCCAGAATTTACGGAACCAGATACTGTAAGCCTTGAAACAGAGGGCAATGTGTCAAAATGACAATGAAATTATCTGAAATAATCGTTCATGCTCATATCCTATGATTTGATATGCAGTATGATTCATTTGCCTCAAATATGACTTTGACCTAAAGAACCGGATTATAAGATCCCCTTACCGTATCGTATTGCGGAATTTATGAAATGAAATTCCGGAATCCCGGAACCGATGCCAATATGACCATATGCCAAAGGAATTAACACAAATAATCTTTATTGACATTATCTTATCATGCTAACATGATTGGTTATGCAAAATGATTATTATACCGCGAATGTTACTGTGGGGTATAAAACTGGATTCCACGGATTGCCCGGAACCGATGCCAATGTGTCCATATGTCATCAGATACACAACAACCTGATTTCAGTGATCATAGCTTGTCATTTTGGCGTAATATGATATCATAACCTCAATGAAATTATATTCCAACAAACCGTTCGCCAGAATTCTCAGATCCACGTTCCGACAACGATGCCAAACTGGCCAAACTCATCCCAAATCATCTTCATTCACTTGATTCTACCTATTTGACATGTTTTGACATGCCACAAGATACTTTTGCCTGAGATATGACTAAATATGTCCTACAGAATCGATTTCCGGACTCCAGGTACCGATAATATCGTAGCCATACGTTATGGAAATATCTAAATTCAGTCTAACTAATCTTATTTCATATATCTGATATCATTTGCTGCACCAGACAACCGATTCGCGTGAAAATTTAAAACATTTGGTCAAACTGGTTAAAAAAGTACAAAAAAAAACACAGACATATTTGCATCTCCCAAGAACGAGGAGGGTTCTAAGGGGGCGGTACCTACGACAAAAGTTAGTTCAACTATTCCCCTTGAATAAAAACCAAAGTTTATGAAAATCGGATGAGGCATTGCTGAGAACGAGTTTGTTGAAACAAATTCGTTCGTCCTGGTACTTTATGAGTTAATAATATATAAATGCTTCGAAGATTCAGACATTGGGAGAAACCCTTTGTAGGAAAAAAAAAAAGCTTCTTACGACAGATTACGATCGAACTTGTTTATTCTGTAGCAGTCGAAACAAAACAAGTTAAATTTACCCCACGAAAGAGGGAAATAGTACAATTTGTATTCAGCAGCTCCTGGGCGATCTCTTAATACAATCATATTAATAGCATGTAGAAAATAAGAGCTTCTTCCGAAATAGAAAACAGCCTCTTTGCTCGTGATGCGTACTTACTTGGTTTGTTTATTTAAGTGTTAGACTGTGGAAATGTGGAAGTAAACACACATAAACGGCTAATTAGTACAACGAGTTAATGTGTTGCGTGCCCTAGATTAGCTCCATTTACAGGCTCTTTACGAACGATACGAACGAATGCGTGGGCAGAAGACGACAACGGGAGGGATTGGTTATTTTATTAGACTTCTTCCTAAGGATTCTGCTCCGTATGAGCTGTAGCCCACGCTTTGATTGACTCAGCAATGCAGCACTCTCACCATTAGTGCTTAGATACAGAGCATTCAGAAGAATCAACACCGTGTAAACCACGTCGATACGAAGTGCTATTTCCTAATTTAAATTTAATCAGTGCTCCTTTATTGGGAAGATGTTAGTAACGATTCTACGCTAACGACGAAGCGAGACTTTCAGATCCATTCACCATGTTAGTTAGGCAGAAGTAACTATGCAATTAGGCAGCTAGACGATAAAAATTAAACCACAGAGCGACCACAACCACCACCACCAGAGAGTTCCACCACAGCGCAGTCAGTCAGTAGTGAGCAACATCGAAAGAGGAAAGAGCCAGACCTGCATGATGCGAAACGGAACGTCCAGCTCCTCATCCATGGTGCGTTCGTACAGCAGCTGCGGGAAAACCGGTGGCATATCGTTCACGTCCTTGACGTTGATCACGATAATCGTTTTGTTCTCGTTCAAACTATCGGAAGCCACCAGCGTCAGGTTGTACTGGGTGGTGCGCCGGGGGAAAAGAAAAAAGTGATAATGTGATTAATAGAGCTTGTTCGGCATCATCGTCTATCCAGAGAGAAAGAGAGTGACGGGCGTGAAAATCAGCTTCGCTGTCAAACTTGACAGCAAAAGATTTGAGCGGTTTCCAGTGGATAGGATTTACTTGGAATCCTACGCTAGTTTAGAGAACCGTTGAACATTATTAATATCCTTTTTGATTGCTTCGACGATATATTTAGTAGATCGAGATTTCCTTACAGCCTTGGTAAGTTGTAATCAGAAATACCTGAAATTCCAAAATAATAGATGTTAATTAAATTCGCAATCTTCAAATTTTCGACAGTGGCAGCTCGCCTACGTGCCGCATTAGCGGAACATTAATTTAGTAATCAAATTTACAGCCAATTAAATTTTATCACCCCATTTCAGGGTTTCTCTGCTCGCAACGACCGGCAACGACACGGTGACTAATGTCTTCATTTCCATCGAAGACGCAATTTCACCTCGCGATATGCCGGAGAAAGGAATCAACCGTGGAAGAAGATGTGGCTATGACGTCGACGACAGCTAAGACGACCGCAACGGTGACACCCGGATTGAAAGCTGAAGGCGTAATTCGCAATTATCGTTTCCACGAAAAGTAGCCAACTAATCTGGTTGTGAAACGCAACCATTTACACCCAGTTGCCTGAACCACGACCACGAATCGCGGCTGAGCTGCGATTGTAAATATTGCAATCATTGAGGGCTGCGGTTGGATGGAACATGTACACGTGTAAACCACCGTACATTATTGGACCAGATTGGAATCGATTATGTATGTTCAGTGAGCTTCGCTTCCGAGTGATTGTTGGGCTGGTTACACACGGAGATATGTTTGGCAGTTGCATAATGCATCGACTGGAAGTGATCATACTGCACTGTATTACCTTCCCATTTGAAAATCATTTTGAAAATGGTGCTAACTATAAAACATCATGGCTGGGGATTCCAACCCCCGTTTGACACTATCAGTTTAAAAATAAAGGTGCGATAAATTCAAATGTTAGGTTTCTAATACCACCATGCAAGGTGTTGGCCATAGACTCAAAATAAACGCATGTAGATATTTGTGGAATTCTTTCCTGGCATAACAATTCTGCAGACTTGTTCTATTCTAGTTTCATGGAACAAAATGACTTGAATATCTTTAAAATAATTACGAGCAATTGCAGATATACTCTTCAAATGATTCTTTGTTCCAACAGTATCATGTTTCACGTAACAATCTATCCTTCTCCCCACTCGCCACCATTATTTACTTATTCAATCGAAGCCGGAGTAAATCCATCAAAGGCTTACACGGCGTCCAGTGTGGATTCCGCATTTCATCGAACACTGGCGGATTGCTGCCGGAAGTTGTAAATTTATGCAGAAATGCATGCATGTTTCCTCCCTCTCCAGTTAAATTTGTGCTGTGCTACTGCGTATCGATAACACTTTGGCTGCTGGTGGGTGATTAAATGCCTCCGGATGGACATTTATCGTTTTTACATTCATGCATTTTACGAGATCTGAAAGTTTATTTTGAAGCTCGTTCGAAGGATAATTTATCATTCGGAAAACCGAAACGGGAAATATATGATGGAATTAATATTTCACAAGAGTTGATTACATTCATTTCTTGGAGCTCAACATTCGATTTTCAATCTCAATCACACCAAAGCGAACAAATAATCACCTTATACACATCAAAGACATTGGGAACGTGAAGTTGAGGGATTGAACAGAAAATCATACAACAATATGGAACTCCATTCTAGTGCAGCTAGGTGGGAATAGAGCTAGATGATAAGCTGCAGGTTCACATACACATACAAAGGGCAACGGAAAAGCTGGATTGAGGCATGCAACACAAACGAAAACAAAACACTACAACTAGGGAGCAGAGCGATTTTATGGACCTGCAGGATGCGCTTCGGCAGATTCCGGTCGTCCTCTTCGGTGATCTGGGCCTGATAGGTGGGCCGCCCGAAGACCGGTGGATTGTCGTTGACGTCCTTGACGTGAATCACCACCGTGGTGTAGTTTTCCTTCAGATTATCGGACGCCGCCAGACGGAGCTCGTACTGTTGGTTCACAGATAGAATGTTTAGAACAGGGGTGTTAGTATAGCAGGAGTTAGCTGAAATATTGATGGGTTAATTATAATCAATATGGTTCGATTTGTGGCTTCTACCGGTATCGCAACCGAGGTTTTGTTGTTGTTATTACACTGACCGATAGCAAAACATTTGATTAACGGTATCAAATTGTGTATTTTGCGTTGCCCTATTATCCGAGAACCTTGTTGAACCGAGGGTGTTAATACAAACAAGCAGTTGTAGCTCTTCTAATGTTCACTCAAAACTTGTGTAGGGAATGTCGGTATTGTAGGGGATTATTATCCATTATATGTTTGCTGTGTGCTGCACATAATCCTCTTATGTGTCTGGCCGATTAAGCACATTCAGTAAGGGAAAGTTAGAACGCTGGGAAGTGGAGAAATGATTTGAAGAAAAGATGTATCGAGAGAAGTTGGGACACCTATCATAGTTCATTACACAACAATATGAACTCAGTGAGTGTTGGTAGTAGTTGTGCAGTTGAGCAACATAATATGTAAGTTTACTATCAATTACTTATTATGTTATTGCAGCAAGGATTGCTTCCACACAGCAAAAAATAAATTTTAATATTACATCCAAGAGGATGCACTTCAATCATGTCGAAAATCTCACGTAATTTTTATGGCCACACAAATAAACAAATGCAGTAAAAGCAACGTAATGTCAGCACATGCATTGTATTTTCCCCTTTTTGGCAGGTAATATTACACCATATTTTCGACACGATTGAAGTGCATCCACTTTGATGCGATATTAAAATTAATTTTTTGCTGTGCATTCATTTGCTATAAAAAAAAATGATTTTTGGAATTTTGGATTCATTAGATGTTATAATGATATTTTGTACTTGTTAGAAACAAGAAAAGGTTGAAACGCAAGTGTTTGACAAATAAAACATGTCAAATTCGTGCACTCTTAGCGAACGCTCACAAATCATAAAATCACTGATTGTGACACACTGAAAGCGAAATTGACAGGTTTCATGTGTCAAACACATACTTTACAGTATTTTCTTTTAACTTACAAGCATATAACATCATCAGTCCGCATCGTGCTCTCTTGCCGTGCGAATCTACACAGCAAAAAATATGAACTAGAGCTAGATCACTCTTTAGTTATAGACCTAATCAGTGTAGGCAAAATCATCAATCAAATAAAAAATTTCCGCACTCATACGCATTCAATATCACGTGTGATATTGGAACAAAACATCATGCTTGATATTGATTTAACAAGCTCCTTTGATATTGCGAGACTATTCACAACGTACAAAAATCAAGCTGAGAGTTGACTCGACACAAAAATGACTCAATTGCACATCGTTTTCTTAGAAAGAGAAAGCATAGTTTGCTATCCCTTTTTAATCTTCACCGATGGCAGACGCGAAGGGACTACTGCAAGCCGTTATGGAAGTTTCGGTTGTATTCGGGTGTAAAGCAAAAATCATGAAACTCAATCTCACCACAGTTTGGTGAGATTTGCAGTTGGTGAGTTTTGTTAGCTTGCTATTCCGAGCTGCAATATCACAGCTTGCAAAATCAACCGCAGTTGTTTGCTTGTTGATTTTTGTCTACGAAAATCAAGCGTGATCTTGGGTGTTGGTGAGATTTGATTTTTTGATATTTTCCCTACGCTAGACCTAATAATGTGCAACCATGTTGTATCCAAAACGAACATTTTCCATACGATTTGACGGTTTGTTTGGATACGTTAACTCACGTTGACCGGTCTATAACTTGACTGTCTATAGCTACTGTCACTGAATAAATGAATCTAGAAATCATATTTTTGTTCAGCTGTATTTAAATTTTAGAAAACGGCTCTAAATGCACAAGTTAAAACAATACGTCTCTGAATTTTTGGCAGCAACATACATTTATGAATCATTGTCTCAGTATTAGGAATATTTGGTTGATTTTACAAAAAGTTAGAACAATTTAAGGAAAACGCATTTTTCTTGAAAACCTTACTTTCTTGAAATGATCAAAACTTCTTGCCACTTATTATGCTAAAATTCGTCCACATGGTAAGAAGTTGAAAATCAAGCGTTTTACTAACATAAATCTAACTTCATACAGGCTCTTCCAATAAGACCCAAACTATAGCAATAAATCACTAATCATATGTTTAACCACCAGCCACGATTTAAAAAAAATATATCTCTTTACTATGTTAAGTAAGTAAAGTAAGTACATTAGACTGATGCAAAATTTGAAATTTTCGCTCCACAGTGCTGAAGCGGTTCCAAATTGGGCCCTGATTAGCCTCCCAATGTTGGAACTCATTTAGTGAGAAACTGACTTGGCACAATCCATTTGAAGTTTGTATGGGAATTACTATGGAGAAACTATAATTTCGGTTCATATCTATCTCAAAATTCACCAGTTCACTCTACTTTAAAAATCTTGAATTTGTTGAAAATTTTCTCAGCTACAACTTTGTAAAAGACCACTTTCCGATCAAATTTAAGGAACAAAAATTAAAAATGATTCAAGTCACTGATGTCTTATGATTATGCTCAATCAACTGTTCAGCAGGCAACATTGGTGTTTATGGCGCATAGAATAGAGGACAAAAATCATGGCTACTATGTCATACTGCAGAATATAGTGTTGCCCACAATACAGTTGCTTAAACTTGCCATAAGATTATCAATCTCTTAAACAATTAATAGCTATTTAATTTGACGTTTAGCTGAAAAACTATTTTCTGCAAAGTTGTAGCTGATAAAAATTCCCATAATCAGAGCAATAGAATTTTTTAACAGTACATATGTAAAAAGGCTGGAAGACAATGAACAAAAAGTTTTGTTTTCCCATAGTAATTCCCATATAAACTTCAAATGGTTTGTGCCAAGTCAGTTTCTTATCAAATGAGTTTAAACTTTCGGAGGCTAATCAGGACCCGATTTGAAACCATTTGAATAGTGTGGAGCGAAAATTTCAAATTTTACATCAGTCTACTGTACATACATTAGAGATGAACTAGCCAACGGCTAAAAATCTCTCTAATAAAGTTAAAAAAAAAACATACATGTATACACACATACATAAACATTTACCGATCCCGTTTAGATGAATCTATTGGTATATGCCATACGTCTCTCCGGGTCTTGGAACGAAATTGTGTTTTTCAAGTGATTTCATACCTTGGTGTACGAGAAAGACAAACGAAAGGAAAAGAAAGGCAATTTTTTGTCCCCCAGGTGTGTTATTATTTTCCAAAGTTTAATGAATATGTTGCTTGATACATCTTATTTTAAAACTGTATTTGTAAAATCGTTACAGCAGTGTTATTGTTTAGCGCCAATTCATCGTACTTGGCTTCGTTGTACAGTACTCTCCATTTCTTGATTATTTTTCTTTCGATATTCCTTTATTTGTGAATCGTTTTAGCAACCCTTATCCTGATCCATCAAAACATTTTGAGCACTAAGTTGAGTTGCTCTTTTGATTGTCGATTTCTCCATATATAGGTGGTGGAAAGATGAATCTCTCACTAAGATGTTTTCGTTCCCCCGCTGCTGGCGTGCGAAAGGACGAATACTCAGTAACTAACGGATTTTCACACTACATGGCACATAATATCGACTCAAATTACTCAAACTCTAGAAAACGTAGTTAACTTGTAGACTGACTAAAATTTTCCAAGCCTCATAAATCTTTTCGAATTTGACAAAAATCTAAGAAAAATTTACTCATTCTAGTAGTATACACTCAAAGAATAAATCACATAGCCAATGGAAAATATTCATTAGAATTTCACATTACTTTAATGTGATATCATAATAGGATATATCACCACAAAATCACATGAACCTTATGTGTCAAATGAATTTTAAGTGATTTATCATGTAGAACGTATGTTATCACATGAACGTTATGTGAATTTCAGATATATATCATTGGTTTTGTTAATGGAAAAATATTATGGGCACTCCCAATGGAAACTTTTTACCGTGTTCTTATTTCATATGTACATCGAGATAATTCTCATATAAGAAAACAAATTCCTGTAAAAACTCGGAAAGTTTTACTCAGTCTATGAGTTATCTACGTTTTCAAGAATATGAGTGAACTAATCTCAACTTTAAGTCAACCTCATTCAGCTTTTTATTAATTGCTTTTAACGTATACGGCGAAAATGTATGCAGGTGTTTTTTGCTCGAACATAACTTTTACTAACATTTCAAACTTTGCATCGATTTCATGAACATCACACGCAAAACTTTTGCTAATTTTATGCAACCGGATTACAGACATTTTTGAAATTTACAGACATTTTTCGCAGACTTCCGAAAAAAAAATCTGGCATCTCTGACTGGGGGTCACATTACGAAATAAAAAATAAGGCATGTAACGAAAATGGGTGGTGATTTCAATCACATATTTCTCAAAACCATTGATGGGAATTATGTCATGCAATATGTCATTCGACGGAAACATTATTCAGCAATTTTTTGGTGTATAGTACAAATAGTGAAAATAGTTAAATAATTATGAAATTTAACGAACAAAATGGGAATATTTCGTGAAGCAATCAGAAGAGCGGGTGGAAGGCAAGAACCCATATTCTCTCGCAGGGTCATCACTTTCCAGCCCATGAAAAAAATCAAACTCGCTCTGCGCATGCTCAAACGACGGTATACATTTTGGCGAGTTGATCGGAGCTCAGAGTAACGCTAGAATTAGGAGAGGCAAAAAACAACTGCAAAATCGCTCCTACCGTTTTGCTGAGATGAATGACCTTTAGGGTTAAAATCCCATTAAAAACCAAAAACATCAACAACAACAGCTCCCACCGTTATTTGCAACCAGGCGGGTTGGAGCTAGGAACCAACGTCAGTACAGGGAAGGAATCTTGCAACGAGAAGGGTTAGTCTCCGACAGAGTTAAAGAGTGAATAACAATTATTAATACAATCTTTTGTCCACTCAGTCACCAGCTTTCACTCTGCCAGCG